GGCTACTCAAATATTTTACGTTTTTGATACTAAATTAACTTCTGAAGTATAATTTTTTATTGTTTTTATATTTTTCAATATATTTATTTTGTTTGTACAAAATAAAAAAATAATTTTTAACGATACAATAGTCTTCGTTAGGCTTAACATCGACGAAAATTCAACGCGAAGCGACACGCAACGGAGAAAAATGGGATAGGTTAATTAATATATTTTTCGTACATAATCGGTTATCCGAAACATCGTTTTTTCCCCGAACAACCCCAGTTCCCAATTGATTCGGATAATCGACGCTCTACTGTAGCTCTCTATGAGTGGCTAATGGATGGAATCGAAGACGGTTGCAGAGCGTGCATACACGCGAACTGCCAAATCCCCAGGGTGCCGATACCGGTCAATGTCAAATACCTCTTGTCGCATCACTAGTATATCTCAAAGGACGCGACAGGGTTGTACTGTACATTTTAAACGTTTCTCGCCGTAGCTGTAAAAATCTAAATATGTTAAACTTAATAGATTGTCCGTCATTTGTTTTCTAACTAATTCGTTTTAGGACCAGGTGTCCACGAAAATTTCCAAAATTTACTTTTCAGTCACTCTCATTTAACTGGGAAAATTTGTCTTTATTACATTAATAATACGAAGAAATCAGTCTCTACTGTACTCGGCTAGAGATGATTCGGTTAAGCTTTTGTTTAAGTAAAATTTCGGATCTTTCAGCAGGGTTTTGTTTGTCCCCAATTCCCTAATCGCTTAATTATTTAACTACTTCTTAAGTAGAAATAAGTCGAAACCAGTTACTTTGTACTCGAATATTTGTAGTCTTGGGAAAAAGTGGAAAGACAAATTTTTATGACAAACGGATATATAAATCGTAAATTTAAGAAAAATAAATTCTAGAGCTTTTTCTGTACCTCGTGCATCTCTCTCATTAAATTTAGTTGTAAATGATGCTGTCGAAGTAACAGTTAATTTTTAAACATTATACAAGAATTGTACACGTTTTTTTTCTACATCCCTTTAAAGATAGGACATACGAAATCGTAATATCACTGGTTAACATTGAAATCCATGAGTAATATAAAATCGGAGAACGGAATAAAAATATCAAATATTTTAATGGATTTTTAAAACTCCTGTCTACTATACAGAACTATCATAAAAACATACCAGTAAATTCTTATCGGTTGGGTTAAGTTATAAATTTACTCGTGATTCACGTAATCGGGCGAGGGCGGCCAAATATCTAGCGGGCGGGCGGCTAACAGCCCAGAACCGGTCCTGGATAGAATTGGAATCAGTATACGTGTAGCATCCGCCCAAAGTCGTAGGCTTCCACCGGCTAAACCGGGTGAGGATGGTGCTATGTAAAGCGCATGCGCGAACTGGCTTTTTGGATGCTGACAATACAGCTCTTCCACTCCGCCACTAATATTCGAATATACAATAGCGATCTTATCTTTTTTTTCACGTGTAGTATAGAAATTTGTAATAAGATACATAATGCGGTTATACAGTAATACCTCGACTTACGCGAACCAGGAGTTACGCGATTTTCAAATCTCGTCGATTCGTCTTTTGTTTGAGCGCCAAGTAACTCTCGATTACTCAATCCCCCCACACTATTGTTCGGCTTACATGTTCAGACGTGTCGTGCGGAATCGACACATAGCCACAATTTATTTTGTGTTATTTATTTCTGTGTTTGTTATTTTTGTGGAGACTTGAGAGACTCTATGTGGTGATTTCTTCTAACCGTGAACGAATCAAAAGACGAGATAAGATTAACGAAAACATTTATTAGCTTACATACATCCGATTTGGGTTTTACACAAATTGCGAAATTATACCCCGACTTACGCGGTTATCGCTCGGTCCCACCTAACGCGTAAGTTCGGGGTATCACTGTAATAAAATATTCTGCGATTATTTTCATATAATTAAAATTAATATGTATTTATTTTTTAGAAAATACAAGGGAAGCGGCGCATCCACCGCTTCCAATGACGGCACGCCACTGGATTTTCCCTAATCTATACAAATTTATATTCAGTTATAATTGGGTCTACCAGTGGCCAAGTGGATAAAATCACCGAAACTGGTGGTTTGCATCCGACTGACAAGCTGGCCATGCAGAGTTTTCCAGGTTTTCTTCATCTTAACCTAAATAGGGGCCAGTGCCTCTATAGAAAGCCCTCCCGAGAGGCATCTTCCTTGGCAAATTGCCTGTATCATGCTGCCATATCATACGAAACTGAACCAAACCGTTTATAATTGTGTGATGGATAAAAAGGAGGTAGAAAGTAACATAGTGGTTTACAAAAAGCAAAAATGCAAAAGTGAATTTTGCATTTTTGCTCTTTGTTAGGTGGCAATAAGTCCTTTTCCCACGCTCTTCGTGGGTTAGACGGGCCCACAATGGGAAATTGCCAGGTGGTGAGGGACAGGGTTCGATGTATCTGGAACAGACTTCTCCACTAAAAATTCTTGGGATTTTTTCAGATTAGCTTCCAGCTCTCAGAGTAGTAGTAGGCTGATACCTTAACCATCACGAACATCCCATATTTTTAATTTGAATAATCAAATTTGTATTCAACTATTAGCACTTTGTTGTTCACACGGATTAGAGAGAGACAATGGTAAACTTCGAGAAAAGACATGCAGCGA